CACAGCCATAGGAATCCAGGCGATGAAAGCCAGGCTTTGCATGGGATGGCAATATCTGGGACTGGCCAAGGACGCTTGAAAATGCAGAGACATCCTGGAGAACACAAGCTCTTCTTCAGAAAATATGCTTCACTTTGGCAGCTGACCAGCAGTTTCAGGTTAAATCCTGAGGTACCGAAGTATTAATGTCTCCTTCCTATTCTCTATTGACACAAAAACAAAACCATATTTATGTTTTCAGACCATCTCTACCAAACATGCCCCATGATCTATTACTGTGCAAGTCCTGACTGAGAACTTCCAGACTATTCATTAACAGAATACATGATGGTCTGAGCTCCTAAAAGCAAACAAAAAGCATTTCATCTCATTTCGTCCATGAATGTTTCATAAGCTGTCTTTCCTGCTTCAATCTGTCCCCTGCCATCCACACCCAAAGCTTCTCTATACTAAAACTGCACTCCCAGGCCTGGGTTACCTCTTAGCCCCAGGTCATCTTCAACTTCGTTTTCATTGAAGAAGCAGCTTTGTGCTCTCATCTCTAGAGGCTTGGCTCAGTGTGTGCCCTCTTCCTTCAGTCACAGATCCCAGAAGAGGACACTGGCTAGTGTAGATATGGGCAGACACAGTCAGAAAGAGCTCTGGCTTTGGCTCTCAGTGTGAAAAGCCTTACGAACTTGGATCTCCAGTGCGGACAATGTAGGTTTCACTCTGGCCCACTTTTGACACACATTGCTCGAAGACAGGCAGATTGGCACAAAGAAAGCTGAGATCTCATGGATAATCTGCTGGAAGGCTCTGAGCTGCCAGAGACACTAGACTGAACCCCAACAGAGCAGGGTGTCAGGGCTGAGCGTGGAAAAATATCTTCTTGGCAATCCGCTTGGCCAAGGAGATGGACAGTTTGGACCTACCAAGTTATCACATCCAGGACTCTGATATCCAGATCTCTGATGTCTGGAAAGAGCAGTCTTTACCCTGCCTGAGTGGAGAGACTGGTCTATTTTGTAGCTATAACTACTGGACTGCTTGGTGACATTTCATCTGGAAAAAAAAAAATAAAAAAAAAATAAGGTTCCTATATAGATTTCAGCTCCAACTTTAAATTCAGCACACTTTAGCATCACACAAACACATCATCACAGAATGCAAACATGCACACACATGCACATATGCACACAGACGCAGAGTTTATATATTTTCTACAGAAGTCATGCTGGAGAAATTTCTTCTTTGCAGAACGACTAGAGCGGATTTGGAGCTACTCTGCCCTCGCGTGGTATGTGGACACCTCTGCAAGCAACAAACCTCCTACTGTAACCGTATGACTACTACATATCACACCCGTATGACATATCATTATATCAAGTTTACAATGTTTGTAGAAGATCCTGTCCCAGATAAGCACTGGGGAACCATTGGCAATTCTGAAAGTACCTGGTAGATCGAATTCATCAAACACCTAAATCATTCCCCAAAGACACGTGCCACTTGGAAGGTGAGCATAAAATGTCAACGGAGAAACTTGAGAGACATTTCTGACAATATTCCTGAAGGCTCTCCCTCACTCTGAAATCATTTCCAGGCCTCTTGAATTGACTCAAAGGCCTCATGTATGGAACAAAGGAAAAAATAGTTTGAAAAATCATCCAAAGTCTATGAACTATTCTGGGGCTCACCAGAAAGATTGAAAACAAAAAAAAAGTTTTTGAACTATGAACCCATCATACCAGAAATTATAGAGAAAAGCAATTTTGAAAATACATGGATTTAAGGCCCCACCATAAGCAATTTATCAAAAGCCTCAGTGGCTCCATCAAAGGGACTTTCAGAAAATGCCTATAGGGCACGACTGAGGAAATAATTGTGGAAAGTCCTCAAGGCAATGTTCAAGCTGCCCTAGACATCAACCACATGGATTTACTCTGTGCATCTTCACAATTCTAAAATTGCCGCAGATACCACCACATAGAAGTCAATTCGGAAGTGATCTATAATGTTGAAGCAGAGCCATAAACACCCCATTAACAGGACCATAGGAAAAGCAACCAAAAAATCCCACATGTAAAGAAACAAACATTCAAAACCTTTTGTGTGATTTTCACAGCATTCTCATAGGCGCCTTTGAAGGGATTTATTCAACAATCTCTCCATTATTTACAGTCCTATTTACAATGGTTCCTTTGTGGGGATTAGGGCTTATTCTCCATAGCTCCTTGGCAGTAATTTGGGCCTCTTCAGTGAGTTTTCACAATGGTTTCATAATGAAGGTGGAGTATTTTCACAATGGCCATTTCATAGATTCTTTGAGACAGTTTCCATAATGGTTATGTGATGGTGACTTGCTGGAAGATCAGAGGCTTGATTGAAACTGTCCAAACAATGTTGGGTTTGAGAATATTTTCACTGCTATACTCATTGGCTTGCTCTTCMTGGCTTAAAACTGTGGCTGTAAAGAGAAGATGGTTGTAATCACACGATTTCCACCATTGACTACAGTTTTGGTGAAAGGGCTTGTATTGCAGATGGAGTGAGAAGACATCATCTCACGGCGCATCTGAAATGGAGTAGCAATTGCTGTGGCTCATTCCCTGCATACTGCAACAATCCCCTGGTGATCCACACGGTATCTGGAGCAACATTTCGGTGAACCAGGCCGATGCAGATTCCCTGACAACTATCCATTACCCACAGGAAAAAAAAAAAGTGTCAGCAAAGGAAGGCATGGGGATAGCTCTAGGATAGATAGAGCCATGATGGGCTGAGTGTAATTCCCCGTGAGGATTAAAAAAATCCAGATCATGAAAAGTATCCCAGTCTTGACAAAGATCCTAGGTGTGACTAGAGGAGGTCTCTTCTCTTTGATTCCAGAGACTAAAACACGTACGGTTATTAKGGCCTGTGTCTGAGGCTCTTCTTTACCTGATCTCAGGCTAGGGTAAGCACCCTACGCTTGTGCAATACCACCAGAAGCTCACAGGAAGTCTCCCTTCCACAAGTTTCACAAAGCTGTCATGGAAAACCATGCTGCTTCCAGAAGGACAAGTTGCATTTCTGATGCTGACCTTCCTGAGGCTTTATTTATTTATTTATTTATTTATTTATTTATAYTTACACTGCCCTCAGGCATACCCAGCCCGGCCCATATCCAGGGAAGTGACCTTTTACTGCTGCCCTGGGAATTCAGCTGGACGGCTCCCAGTGCTCTTCACGGACTCACAAGCCTCTTCCAGGCATGAGACACAGCAACGGAATTGCTTCCCTGCAACCCAGGGAGCAGCGGGGAGCCGTGTTTGTTTTAGCAGCCTGCAGAATTAGAGAGAGCTAAAAGAGAAGTGGATATGGTACTCGGTGATATTTGGGGAGAAATCCAGGTAACCATGGGCCACAGCAATTACAGTCACATCCCTGCTGCTCAGTGAGGCGCAGCCTGGTCCTCTTTCCCACCACTGTGCTCACAATGAGCATGAGTTTCTCGCCCGGGGATCTGGTTGACTTGCTCCAGAGTAAAGCCAGAATGTAAATCAACATGTAAGAAGTGGAGGATCAAAGAGTCTGGGTTCTTCCATGAGGGCAGCCACAATAAACATGCCCATCCCAAACTGGTAAACCACTACTCCAGAAGAATCTAGCATAGCCTGCTTCTGCTCCAGGCTTCAAGGAGAGCTCAAGCACCCAAATGTGGGCCTGTTTTATCAGGAATGACAGTTATTGGCATGTCAAAAATCACCTTTTCCTCCAAACCTTTCCTGGCTTTCAACGGCTCATCAGGCAACTGRGGAAAAAATAATAATATAAACCCAAGGCTCGTATCTAGAGCTAAAATTAAATAACTGTCTTTTTTTTTTCTGCTAGAACTTGCAGCACAGGAATTGAGAACAGACTTGCATGTACTCAGACAAGCATCCCTGTGCAATGCCTGCCTGGGATCACTAGGCACATTGCACGCTGCAGGCTTTGCTGGTGTCTTAGAGGAGGTGGCCAAGTCCAGTGGTGGCTCTTCTCAGATGTGACTCCCATGTTTCCATCCAATCTTTCTTCCTTAGCCTTCCCCACACCATTTTTTTTCCATCCACAGCAATAAAATAATTCGGAGTGCTGAATAAGCAAGAAAAATGCATGTGGCGTGAGGACCAAAGATAGGAGAGTCCAGAAAGAGTCAGAAATAGAAAATAACCACATGCATTAAATTACATTCTGATGTACTTGACACCTTCAAATTATAGATCTTTGAGAAGTTGTTTCAAATGAGAGTCAAAATGGAGCTTGCGACCTTTTTGCCTGTGCTAGCCCAAAGCTCTTGTAGATCTACAAGATCCGGGCACCTCCATTTTATGGGTAAATCCCGTCATTTCTGGCACTGTTAGGCAATGCCGGTGGTTCACAACAAGACCGAGAGCTCCTGAGATGTGTGTGGACAGACATGATTTTCCAGCTTAGTCCCATAGCAAGGGACAACTGTGAACCCCCCGAGGCAGCAGCAGGAGGAGGTGGCTTTGGCCACCAGGATCTGCACGCTGGCAGGGAGAGTCAGGGGGCCTCAGGCCATGGATTGGGACTCTGAATTGTCAGTTTTCTGGAGAAATTGCTGTCACTTGTGTCTTTAAGGAGCAGGTTTGGGGAGGACAAAGCTAGAGCGGCTTGTAGGTGCTGCCGTGTGACACACACTTTAAACCTGGGCTAAATTAGACCTATTTCAGAGCATCCATTTTACGGGGGAGGGGGGGAGAAGGGGAAAGGGAAGGGGAAAAGGAAAGGGAAGAGGAGGGGGAGGGGGAGGGGGAGAGGGGAGGGGGAAAGGGAAGGGGAAGGGGAAAGGGAAAGGGGAGGAGGAAAAGGAAAGGGGAGGGGGAAGAGGAAGGTCGCTCCCTAGGCAACGGGAGGCCCCGTTGCCCAGCAACCAGGAGCACCCAAGGGGCGGGGGTGGCGCGGCAGCCGTGACGCCATCAGGGCGCGCCGGGCGGGGAGCGGGAGGGGGGAGGCGCGGTGCGCGGAGCCGGGAGCGCTCCCCGCGGCGGTGAGCGGGGCCTAGTCGAGCCGAGCCGAGCCGGGCCGGGCCGGGCCCAGTTGGGCCGAGTCGGGTCGGGCCGGGCCGGGCCGTGGGGCCCGGGGCGGGGGCGGCAGTGGGGTACCCCTTGCTAGCCGCCCCATGCCCTGCAGAGGAGGCCGTGGGCTTTTCGGGCGACTTTGGCAGCAGCGTGGGCTGGGAGCACGGGGTGGCTCGGTCGCTGAACGACACGTTTGTTGGCGCTGTGCGGGCGCGGCCCGCCTGTCCCCTCAGCGCTGCCCGCGGCCGGGGGCGCGGGCCGGGGCGGCGCCCCCTGGCGGCGCGGCGGGCGCGCCGGGCCCTGACATGTGGCCGTGCTGGCTGTGCCCGCAGGTGCCGGGCGCCATGGCCCCCCCCAAGGACATCATGACCAACTCGCACGCCAAGTCCATCCTGAACGCCATGAACGCGCTGCGCAAGAGCAACACGCTGTGCGACGTGACGCTGCGCGTGGAGCACAAGGACTTCCCGGCGCACCGCATCGTGCTGGCCGCCTGCAGCGACTACTTCTGCGCCATGTTCACCAGCGAGGTCGGTGCGCGCCGCGGCGCCTCGGGCCCGCGCGCGGCGCCTCGGGCAGGACGCCCCTGCGCAGCCGCCGGGCAGCCCCAGCGTGGGGCTGGCTGCCCGGTCGTGGCGTTAGGTGCGCTGGTTGTGGCACCGGCGCCTGCCGTCACGGCGCTGGCTCCCCCGGTCGTGGTGCCAAGTGGCACTGTCAGGTGCTGGGTTGCATAATCACGGCTGTAAGTGCCGCCGGCTCACCTGGTTGTGCTGCCCGGTGGCKCCGTTGTGTCGCCGAGTCGCGTGGCCATGGCAGTAGTTGGCCCGCACGTGGCGTTGGGCGGCCCCGTCRTGGTGCAGGTTCCCTCGGCTGGGGTACCAGGTCACTCTGCTGTAGCRTGGGCTGCCGGGGGGTGGTATTAGATGGCCCTGCTGATGCTGGGTTGCTGCGTCGCGGTGCTGGATCACCGCTGTGGTGGTAGGTCATTGCACCATGGCATGGGCGCGCTCCAGCACGGTGCTGGGTTGCCTGGTTGTGGTGCTGGGGTGGTGGTTCGCCAGATCGTGGCGTTAGTTGGCACTGGGTTGCCCGGTCGGGGCATTCGGTAGCCTGGGTAGTGCTGGGTAGCGCCACAGTGGTGGCAGGTCGCTCCCCAGAGTGCTGGATCACTCCATCATCAGGGCAGGTCGCTCCGCTGTGCTAGGCTGCCCCTGCATGACACCGAGACACTTGTGTCACGGGGCTGCCCCCTTGGGTGCTGCGTCTTTCTGCTGTGCTGCTGCCAGGAGTGGCGTGGCGAGAGTTAAAGGCCGCGTTTGGGACTGTTGTCCTGCGTCACTGTGTGCCAGACAACCGGCACCAGGGACTGCCGCTCCGAGCTGACAAACCAGCGGCCTCCAGTGCCTCCACTGATTTTTCCAGCCATCTGTYCCACCCAAGGTGCCAGCACGGGGCTGTGTGAGCAGAGCTGAGCACCCAACGCAGGCAGTGAATGAAGGCAGCAGTGTTAATGTTGAAATGGATGAGCCTTAGCTGATGTCAGGGTCTGGGTTTCGCCCCGGCTGAGCAGCTGGCACACGGGTGGTCAGGCTGGTTCCCTGGCCAAGAGAAGTGGCATTGAGGATGGGTGGTCGGGGGTAAGGCAGCAAGCCACAAGTCATGGGAGAACTTGTGCTCTCACGCTGCRTGTTGTATTCACTTAAATTCATGCTATTTTGCCAAAACACTGAAAAGTAATCTTTAAGCTAAAGCTGGGACTTCTTAAATAAGAGATGCGAACCTGGCCTCGTCTCTTAGAAGTTTGACTCAGTCTTTCTGGTGCCTTCTTACATAAGATGCTTTCCTTGTCATAGCAACTTCCTTGTTGGCAGGGAGAATAATGACTAAGCAGCCCAAAGTTCCAAAAATCTGCCTGCCAACTCAGTAGTCCTCTTGAGGCAGAATCATTTTATTCTTTGTCTTAGCCTGTAATGATCCAGGTCTTTAGATCTAGACTTGAGATATATGTATTTTGGGGGTGAACAGGTGTCTTAGTATTTCTAGATGCAAAGCAAGCAAAAACAGGCGGACCAACCACATACTTGCTATCTTTTTTTATTTATTTTATCCATGTCCTCATGAGTTTTTATTTAACAGGTTGTTCCACCTTCTCTGCATATGGATTTTAAGCAGAGCCCTGAAGAAGAGGGCTTCTACCTCCCTCAAATTTTTACCAATAGATTTGGCACCATTGTAGTCTCCAGCCAACSGCTGTGCGTAACCTCTTAGCCAATTTATTCCAAGTACTCTGGATGATCTACATCTTCATTTGCCCATTTCTGCATCTTTCTGTTTTTGGGATGCCATGAAGTTTGTCCCTTGTGTCAAWAAACCTGATTAGCCACTTTCCTGAAACAGCTTTGGGTGTCACCATGCACTCCTGCATTTACAGTAGTTGCAAAGTGGTTGAGTCTTAACAGATATTTCTTCCCGTCTGTTGCTGTGTCATCCAGCGTCTCTGTAGGAATCTCACTGACAGCTCTTATCTTCTCTACTTCTATATCACGTCCTCTTTCCCCAGCTGTGGTAGCTCCTAAGCCAAGTGATCATGCCCTGATCCTGCTTTATCTTCAGTGAGTCCCTGCTCCACCTGTCTGTAACCAGCTGTAATCTCCCTCCTGGCAAGAAAAAACAAGGGCTTTCATCTGAGTCGTGCTGCCACCGACTGCGTCCTTGTCACTCACAGGAAAAAAGAGCTGGGTTTGGCAGCATGTTTCATGGAGAGATTCCTCTCAGCTCAGATCTGTTTGCGCTGACAAGAGCTCGCAGCCATGCAGGGGATGTGATTAGTGGTCCCAAGTGCTGGCCAACTGCTCGTGAATCACCGGCCGTCACGGGAGCAGCCTCGCGGCGGCTGCGCCAAGTGCTGAGAACTGATGCTCTTTGAGATACAGTCTCAGTTCTCTGCCTACAGAGGTGCAAGTTGGGGGGGATCTGCTGAACGTCTTGTTCCCAAAGGTTGGCTGAGATGGTAGCATTCCCTAGGAAAAAAAGATGTTCCAAAATGATGTAMCTTTTAGGTGACAAAATGAAACGTACTGCTCCTGCTGGAAAGGGGACAAAGTTAGGATYGTTTGAGTACTATCTCTGTGTATACTGTCACTTTGAGCTGTTCAAGTCAAACATGCATTTAACCTATAATTCTGAAATTTCTAGCCTGCATTAATCATTCCTTTTTATGGCCTTTCATCATAAGGTTGCAGAATGGTCCAGGAGTTGAACAGTTAAGGAAGAGTTTTTTTAATTTGATTTGGTTTTAGCGTAGAGTGGTCACTGTAGGGATGCTGTAAGCTGCAGCATGCCATGTACATTGAGCCTGGGGAATAACCCCGCTGAAGCATCCTGGCTGGTAAAGCATGGAATAGTTGTGTGGGAGAGAGTTTAGATGTCATCTGCAAATGGCACACAATTTCTGCTATTTYAGATCTTAGCTTGTTCCTTTTACAGTGCAGTTTGGCTGTCCTCCCTAATAATAATAATAAAAAAAAGTTTTAGTCTTTCTGTAGGTGAATTTTTGTGAAGTTCACTCCCCTTATTCTTTTAGTGAACACRGGAATAAAAAATACAAAATCACTGTTTTGACTGTGATCTGTCAGATCACATTTTAATGAACTGCTGAGTGTTGTTGCCTTTTTGATGAGATTTCTGAAAAATAAACTTCTGMTTTCCTTCTGATTACAGCTTTCAGAGAAAGATAAACCCTATGTAGATATCCAGGGCCTGACAGCTTCCACCATGGAAATCCTGCTAGACTTTGTGTACACAGAAACTGTTCATGTAACAGTAGAAAACGTCCAAGAGTTGCTTCCAGCAGCGTGTCTGCTTCAGCTGAAAGGTAATTGTCAAGTATCACCACAATTTGCACAATTACTGCTGTTCAGAGATTTGGGTTGTCTGASCTTCAGTAAAGAAGAGATGGGAGGCATGATATTTATAAGGGCTATGTTAATTCCAGGCCCTTGTGTCTTGAAACTRTGTAGTTTACATCAACTCCTTGGGCTGTCTCGTGAGTTCTGGTTTCACTGATAGAGGAAAAAAAAAGATAATATTGTCCATGCTTTGGGCTACTGGCCAGATTGACAATGGGAGAGCCATGGATGTTGTCTGCTTTGACTACAACAAGGCTTTCAACACCATCTTCCATAATATCCTCATAGGAAAGCTCCAGAAGTGCGTACTAGATGGGTGGACAGTGAGGTGGATTAAGGAACTGACTGGATGGCAGAGCTCAGAGGATGGTAATAAACGGGGCTGAGTCCAGTTGGAGGCCTGTGGCCAGTGGTGTCCCTCGGGGGTCAGTACCGGACCCGGTGCTGTTCAACCTGTTCGTCTATGACCTGGACGAGGGCACAGAGAGCACCCTGAGCAACTTTGTGGGCGACACCAAGCTGGGTGGAGTGGCCGACACTCCGGAGGGCTGTGCTGCCATCCAGAGGGACCTGGACAGGCTGGAGAGTCGGGCAGAGAGGAACTCAGGAGGTTCAACAAGGACAAGTGCAGAGTCCTGCACCTGGAGAGGAATAACCCTGGACACCAGTACAGATTAAGAGTTGACCTGCTGGAAAGCAGCTCCACAGAGAGGGACCTGGGAGACCTGGTTGACAACAAGTCAACCATGAGGCAACAGTGCCCTCATGACCAAGAAGGCCAATGGGATCCCAGCCTGCATCAGGAGGACGTTGCCAGCAGGTCAAGGGAGGTGATCATGGCCCTCTGCTCAGCTCTGCTGAAGCTGCACCTGCAGTATTGGATGCAGTTCTGGGCTCCTCAGTATAAGAGGGACGTGGAGCTCCTAGAGAGGGACCAGCAGAGAGCAACAAAGATGATTAAAGGAATGGAACATCTCTTGTATGAGGAGAGACTGAGTGAGCTGGGCCTGTTCAGCTTGGAGAACAGAAGGCTGAGAGGGGATGTGGTTAACATGTATAAGTTCATGAAAGGCAAATGTAGGGAGGAAGGGGCCAAGCTCTTCTCATTGGTGACCAGTGACAGGACAAGGGGCRATGGGTACAAGTTGAAACCCAGGCAGTTCCATCTCCAGGTGAGGAAGAACTTCTTTACTGTGAGGGGTGACAGAGCCCTGGCACAGGCTGCCCAGGGAAGTTGTGGAGTCGCCTTCTCTGGGGGTCTTCAGGGGTCCCTTCCAACCTTAACCGTTCTATGATTCTGTGATTCTGTAATACCAGTTTTCTGCCTGAATATTATAAGGAGGAACTGTGGGTTCTGTAGTACATAAACATCACAGCCAAACTCACTTCTAATAATAAGCAAGTCCTTGAAATTGCTTGACCTTGCGGTCGTAGTCTGTATGGATCGTAGCAGCCTGGTTGATATCATTGCACGTTGTACCTGTGAAGCCAGTGATCCTACTTGTGCAGGGTGTTGGGACTAGATGATGTCCAAAGGTCCTTTCCAATCTCACCTATGCTGTGAAGCTGTAAAGCTTTCAGAATCCACAAATCCCAGACAACCATCAAAAAGACGTTGGAGAAAATCTAGAAATCTGATAGCCACATCCATTARTGCATATATTTTTGGTTTATAATCYATGAAGCTGAGTGACGCTTATATTTGAATCATTTGCTAGTACTAGATTATTTTTACTGCATTTAAATAAGATAYCCAAGTGCCCACCCATGTGGTCTACTGCTTTGTGTTTTCATGTCTCTCTGAAGAAATGTTTGTCCATGTGTGTTTCTTTGATATTTTTTGAGCTTACTATTTGAGTTTGTTTTCACTATTGCTTAGAATTTCATTTTCTAAAGCCCTTTCAAGGTAGTGGTTTGATTCTAAGAATGCAGTGCTCATTAACCCTTCCATTACCCATAGGTGTGAAACAAGCTTGCTGTGAGTTCCTCGAAAGCCAGCTGGATCCATCAAATTGTTTGGGCATTCGGGATTTTGCTGAGACACACAACTGCGTTGATCTAATGCAAGCTGCAGAAGTCTTCAGCCAGAAACATTTTCCAGAGGTTGTTCAGCATGAAGAGTTTATTTTGTTAAATCAAGAAGAGGTTGAAAAGCTCATCAAGTGTGATGAAATTCAGGTAAAATCTGGATGTACTGCTACTGTGCAAAGTGCTTAAAAGCCAGTTAGAAATCCAGGGCAATTACTCCTTTGTCCTAGCATGGACTTCTCACGCAGTCCATGAATTTGATATTAATTTTCTGCATAATTTCTCCTAAGTTTTTAGCCAGATATGTCATATGAGACTGAACAGTTTCAGATTATCACATGCAAGGAATCCCTGTAAATAGGACCAGTGCAGTCAATAACCTCTGCAGAACTCCTCTTGGTTCCTCCTTTCTGTAGAGGAGGTTTCAGAGGTTATGGAGACAGGTTTCAATGCCTAGATTGGAAATATTTCAATGCCTAGATTGGAAATATTCCCAAGATTTCAACTTCTGTTTGTAGACTTATACATGTTACTAACCAGCTCTAGGAATGCCAGGTGTCATCCCAAGCACACGGCTGTCTGCTGCTTTCATACCCTGCAGAAGGTATGATGGTGCAAGGGAGTTTGATTCTTTACAGTTACAGCAGGTGTCTTGAGGGAGGGGTAAAGAGGATGGGCCAGACTATTTCCAGTGGTGCCCAGCAATAAGACAAGAAGCAGGAAGCACAAACTGACACACAAGAACAGGTTGCCCAGAGAGGTCGTGAAATCTTCTTCCTTAGAAGATTTCACAGCAAAACTGTTGCATGTAACAGATTACAGTCAGTTTAGGAAGGTATAAAACCACCTGTGATTACTGCATTTATGGAGGAGATGGGGAAAATTGGAAGCAGTGAAGCGCTCTGAATACTGTCCTTTTGTGAGCTCTAATTGTCCTTTCCTTRTAATTCAAATATAAAGAGGCCATTTGGAATTACAGTGTAACAAATACAAATCGAAGGAATGGAAGAATTGCCTTACATAATTAACCTCTGTGCCTTCTTGCTTGAGAACATTGTGCAACCAACAGCTTCAAACTGAACTTCACAGTGTAGCAGCCACGTACTAGTGGGAAGACTCAGTTTTCCTGTTACAGTGTCTCCTTTTGTGTTCACAGTAAACACCAGCTAACAGACCTCTTTGTAATGGATGTTTAATTTGTTTTCAGGTTGAATGATCTAAAGACCTGCAAAAAAAAAAAGCATAAATAACATGTAATAGGTCTTTCTACAATTCATTCTCTTTCAGTAGCCATTAGTAGCTGGATTTGCACGGCTGTGCTCAGTGCACTCGCTTTGCTGTGTCCTGTRAAGCTCACTTTTCAGGCACTTGTACTGTCACTTGCTCATCTCAGCTGTAAGGGAAGAAAAAGTACATAGTGTTAGGAAAAAGAAAACACAGAAATTTCCTAGATCATGTAAATATAGGTTTGAATTATCATCATCTTTTGCTAGCTATTAAGCAGTGTCAGCAGCTTGAAAGTTGTCCACTTCACAGCCTGTGCCTGGAATATCCTGTAGTCTGTTCAGTATATGCCTGCTCTTTCCAGGTGGATTCTGAAGAGCCCGTTTTTGAGGCCGTTATAAACTGGGTGAAGCACTCCAAGAAGGAACGGGAGGCGTCGCTGCCGGAGCTGCTGCAGTACGTGCGCATGCCGCTGCTCACGCCGCGCTACATCACCGATGTCATCGACACCGAGGTATCCGCAGCCTGCCGCACAGGGCAGAGAGGGGCTGCTGTCTCTGGTGAYTGTTGAGTTCCCTCATTTGGCCCCTGCTGTCCTAACAGAACCCGTTAAATGTAGTTTTTCTACTGGTGTTTTCTGTGCTTTTTGATCCTGAATCCTGAAAAATATTATTTTCCCCATTCAGCTGAGAGAGCCCAGGATTCCCAACCATGGAATTATTCAGCTGTCTCCTGAGCAGTATCATGTTTTCATTATTATGTCTTGGGTTTCTAAGAAATGCTTTCTGTCTTCCATTCATAAACAGCAGCAGTTCTCCCTTTAGGCAGAACGAGGCTGCCAGTGTGGGGACCCTAGTGAGGACACGGTAGTGGAGGGCCTCAGCAGAAGTCATTGCAGGTGCGGATGGACCTACCTTGGATGAAACGAGCAGCAGCGCCTCAGCTCCAGAGCCAACACACAACTCAGAGTTGTATCTAGTCTATCTTTGTGTGGCTAGAGTATTTCAGAGGCAAAGCGGTGGATAATGAAAAGGGATTGTTAGGCATTTGCAATGAAAACATAATTCCAACAAGAAGTGAGGCTGCCCTAGAACTAGGCTTGACACAAAGGCATAGAGCCAGAATTCTCATTTCATGGTGATGAGATTTGGCAGACTTCTCCACATCCAGAAATGGCTGGTTTAGCAAAAATAATTTCTAATGTGGTAAAGCTACTCTTAAATAAGGACAACTAATGCACAGGTAGCTCTGCCAGGACTAAAATGTATCGAGTTAGGTTGTTATAGTCCAGCTTAAACTGAAATTTAAGCCAATACAAAAGTGACTGGTACCAAATAACTACTTCATGTACGTGCCCAGTATAGAGATCAAACTCCTAGACTCAGCAAAGGTGCTTAGTATCTGTTCCCCTCCTTGCTTCTTCTTCAATGGCAAGGTGCCTGTTTGAGAGTTGATTCTCTGTGACTGGTCTGGCCAAAGTGTTTTCAAATCTAGTTTCACTGCCAGTTCCTAGATGTACTTTTACTGGCTCAAATGTTGATTTTCCTTAGTTTTGTAATATATTGTTTTCCATTAGAACACCTGCAGTGCCAGACATCACATGATAAATGAGCCATTTCAGAATTTGCGCCATCTTTTAAGCTGCATTCCAGTCCTAAGTTGTCTTTGCCTTTATTTATGTGCAATATTTACACCCTGAGACTGCTGGCCACAGACAGCACATAGATCGGTTTAATGCTGTCGAACTGACTGGAGCTGACTTGAATAATAACTTTATTATTTTTTAAATACATCGTATGTACCCGTGACTCGTGTTGGTTTTTTCCCCAGCCTTTTATCCGATGCAGTTTGCAGTGCAGAGACCTTGTAGACGAAGCCAAGAAATTTCACCTTCGCCCTGAGCTGCGGAGTCAGATGCAGGGACCCAGGACGAGAGCCCGCCTAGGTGAGCAGCAAAGGACAGGACCCAGAAGGTCTGGGGCATCGGCAGCTGTGGTATTACACACACAGTCCAGTGTTGTAAGAAGTGTTTTGCAGCAGTAATGTGCCAGTGCACAGTGCCGTGGTACAGAGAAGGCATGGGAGCAAAGCACACATACGTAACCATTTTCTTTTAAGCTGTCTGTGCCTCCACATCAGTCGGTCTCAGCATGCAGCTCTCCAAGAAATGCAGAAAAATGCAGAAAGAGTTTCTTCCTGCCTAAAAAGCCATCAGTGTCAGAAATCTGAAGAGCTGGGAGGTGAGGCAGCAGTGTTAGACTGAAGATAAGTTTTTGACAAGGAGTCTAAGAAGGCAAGGCACAAAGGGAGAAATGGAGAGATGCCTCTTTCCTTGCAGAAGTACATTGTTCTTTTCCTAGTCTGCTGAGGCACAGAAATGAAAATTTTCTTGCTGTGTCAGTAGCTCCTAGCAAGCTGGATTGTTGGGAATCCACTTGGCCTAGGTTTGGAAGCACATGGAGTAAGTGTAACAGCAGGAGTGACCAGCAGTGGAAGAAAAAGTATTTTAGTGGCCCTTCCTCGCCTGAATTCTTCAACAGCTCCTGTGGCACAGACACACAAACATGAGAGAAGATTTTTTTCTTAATCTTTTTAGTATATTATTTAAGTGGTGACATTCAAAAGAGAAGATAAAAATATGAGCACTTTTATTACCTCTCTCTCATTTTTTTAATATAAAAAGGTGAGGGATTTTTGTTTGTTTGTTTTTTTAATGGTTCTTGCGAATATCTTTCCCTCAGCTCTCCATTTTGCGTTCAGTATTAGTGTTTATGACCTCTTGTCTTTTTTGGAACAGTTGTGAAATTGTCCTTTTTTATCATGCTGGCAATGTAGGATAATGGTCTCCCTGGTTATAACATAAGAAAGTCAGAGATTGAGGTGGAGTTTGATCCTCAGTGAAATGGTGAACAAAGAAAAGCACCATCTAGTCTGGTTGCCAGTTATTAACGGGGAGAGAAGGCCCTGCTTTGGGAAGGGGATGTGAAGGAGCAGCCATCCTGCTGCTGGGTGGGGGTAAGTTTGAAAGTTTGAGAAGATTTTGTGGAGAAGACTAAAGAAGGCTTAAACCAGTCAACTTTAGTGCCAGATTTAGCCAACTGGGTATCTAAGAGACCCTCTAACATTACCAGAGACTGACTCTTCCAGCAGACAACTCTGAACGTGTGAATTAGCTGTGTTCCTACACATCCCTGGAAGAGCCTTTCTCTCACATTCTCTTCCTCCCTGTTGGTGATAGGGAGCCCAGGTGACTGGTACCTGGATTAGATACCAATAGTCAAAGCAGTAATTAAGAGCAATGATTGACAGGTAGAGTCACACACCAAGGAAGACTCAGTTTTCTCAGGTGATTCCCCTGAGATCCCCCTTTAGTTGCGAAGAGGTTGACGTGACTTTGCTCTCCCTCTTTGCTCTAGGAGCGAATGAAGTCCTGCTTGTGATCGGAGGCTTTGGCAGCCAGCAGTCACCTATAGATGTTGTGGAGAAATATGACCCGAAGACTCAGGAGTGGAGCTTCTTGCCGGTAAGGGACCATTTTTGACCATCATTGGGATGTACAGTCATGGTGCAATCAAACACTGATTGACTGATGCTAAGAAGGCATCAGCTATATAACATCTCTCTCCAGGCATGATCTTCTGTCATCTACTTAGAATTTAGGGTTGCCGAGGCTTACAAAGCGAATCCTGAAATTTGTTGACATTTAAAGACTTACTAATTGAGCCCTATTGTTATTATGGTTTTAGTTAGAGCCTGCCGAGACCCACATCTTTGATATCACGTTCATCTTGAGAGGAGTGTTAAGCTTTAAAGTTTAGTGATGACGACTGAAATGTCATCAGGAGTAGTGCAGTCAGTCCTGCTTTGGGGCAGGCTGTACAACCTCTCTGGTTTCATTCCTTTTGAGTGTAACAGGAGATATTAGGGAAGAGAGAGAAGTGAAAGTTCCTGTGTTGAGCACTATTTCTACTCAGGTTTAAAATCACCTCTGTTTGTGTGAAAAGAGGGAGAACTGCCTCTTCTTTATTTATCCYGTAAAAAAATGTGTTCCCTGCTTTCCCTAAATTCTGTTCTTTTTTGGAGGTGAAAAGCTTCAGAAATTTCCATCAGGTATTCCAAATGTCCACGATTTTCCATTGATGGTATATGCAAGATGTCAATGGGAGGAATGCAAACCTCCAAAATGCATCAAAGGTTCAGTCATAATGTAAGACAAGTGACATTTAATGCAAAATATGGAGACTTGGGCTTGAGAAAACACATGGGTCAGGCCAGACTATAGGCAGAGGAAGCTAAGCATTGATCCAGGGCTGTATCCTATAAATCTGTACTGCTATTTGCCCCTGTAGCAATGGGCCATTTTCCAGCAGAGCAGCAAAAGAGGATGGAATAAGTACCTGTTTTCAGTGCATCAGTGTTATTTCTTCTTCTTGAGACTTTTATTCATTTTATTGTGGCAGAGCATCACCCGTAAGAGGCGCTACGTTGCCACAGTGTCCTTGCACGATCGCATCTATGTGATTGGGGGTTACGACGGCCGCTCTCGCCTCAGCTCAGTGGAGTGCTTGGATTACACATCGGACGAGGATGGAATCTGGTACTCCGTGGCTCCGATGAATGTGCGGCGAGGCCTGGCTGGAGCCACCACCCTTGGAGGTACGTCCTGGTCACTGCACTGGCAAGGCAGTGAAGGCTCTTGTCATCCTGAAGTGCCCAAGGCCAGTATCCATGGATTGGGGTGGCTCTGAGGAGGGATTTGAGTCTGCAGTTCTTGACTTTCATCATTTACGTGTAGAAATCAAAGGGTTCCTGCCTGTCGATCATGACATGGGCTCTCCCTCCACTTCATTCTTACGGCATGTGTCTGTGATGTGAGGGAAGGAAGCCCTGTGGAGGACTGTGGAATGGAAAGCTCTTGGGCTGGTGACTGTGCAGTGTGTTACTCAGTACATGCTGACGAGTACAGCTGGATTCATCCAGCACTGGAGAGGGAGGGAAACTGCAGCATGCACAGAGGAGGATTCCCAGGACAAACTTTACAAAGCAAAGTAGAAGATTTTATCATGCTTACCCTGGCAAAACAAAGGCCAAGAGGGAATAGCAAGAAAAGAAAATGTGCACATGCAAAATGTGCAGTATAAGAACAGAATAAAAGCAAAAAGGTATTAACAGGCTATGATAAAGGATGTGGAAATGAAAGGAGGGTTGCTATTCATTAGCACAATAGCTACTCTAATCCTATACTCTACCTGGAGCAATTCTATACTATATAGAGTAATTCGATATTAAGGAATATATTAGATTATCTTTTTAATAAGTGATACCATTTAAGTATTATTCATGACATGTTAGATCATTAATGTATCTATTTTAATGAAAGTTCTGTAAAAATGCAATTGCTTTGAAGATGATTCTTGACAGAATGTGAGTTAAGATAAAGAGCTGGTCTTGATCCAGGCCTGGCCTTTGGCTCATCTCTTGTTTTGCTACCAGTGTGTTTATTACCTGGTAAACATGTCCAAAAAGCAGATTTTAGGGCCAGAAGGGTATTATGTTTGTTCATAAAACATAGTTTGTTGGGTCTGTGACAGGCTCATGCGGCAAGCTTGGGTGAGGAAGCTGAGTTTGTTTCCAGCTCTGAACATGCCGAGATTCACAGTTTCTCTCGTGTTTTGCAGTCCCTGTTGTGGGTTTGCTGCATCCGCGAGGGCCTCGTTGCTCCACGGCATGGGTGTACGTTCGGTGACTGCCTCGCTGAGGCTAATGCTGTGTCCCCTTGCAGACATGATCTACGTTTCGGGCGGGTTTGATGGAAGCCGACGTCACACCAGTATGGAGCGATACGACCCCAACATTGACCAGTGGAGCATGCTGGGGGACATGCAGACTGCGCGGGAAGGAGCAGGGCTTGTCGTAGCTAATGGAGTTATTTACTGCCTCGGTAGGTACCCTCAGGACCTCTAGGCATCCTGCAATTTCATGGTTTCTACAAAAATTCAGATTCTCTCTGCAGCCAGCACAAGTCGTATCGTTTCTAGGCTAGAAGATCTGTTGCAAACTTCACCATGGTAGGTGTTACATAGCTCTGACCACAAACATCAGTCACCGTCACAGTGGCTGGGCCTGGAGCTGCTGTGTAACTGCACTAAATGCTGTTAGAAGCAAATTGGAATCAGTCAACCTGCCTTTGAGGGACCGCTGAAGTAAGGAGGATGAGCAGGGCAACGTAACAGCTCGGGTTGCAGAGGCTGGGCAGTGGCTACGGCTCAGCAAAGAGCTGTAGGACAGGGGTGCATCCCCTCTCTTCRTTTTCTGAGTCCATGCCAGCTGTGACCAGCTGTGATTGCACTGAGAGTGCTAGAGGGCAAACTACCCTGAAGCCTTTAGTAAGCTTGTTCGGTAGATACTCCTCCCAGGCTCCAGAAAAGATGGGTGCAGCACTGTTTTCCACCCATTTGGTTGCAGTCCTGTTCCTGCGGAGTCTTGGATACTAGCCACTGGTTTGTGGGTTTCACTCACCGCCCCCAAATTCACCTTSCCCAGGTAGCCCCTCCAGACATGTGCCAGCACACGGCCCCTTTGCTGAAGCAGCACAAAGTGGTTTCTTGGTGTCCTCTTGTGAAATAGCTCTCTGCCTTTTGTGCTTTCCTCTGTCAACACATCCCAGCTTGTGCTCTGTGCAGCCTCCTAGTGTCAGCTGAAGGAGTGGACTGGAGCCAAGCAGCACGGACCCTGAACCGGCACCAGGCCTGGATGCTGTAGGAGGCGCCAGGTGCTCAGAGGGAGATTTTGGTTTGCAGAGGCCTGGCTTGGAGCTGGCTCAGGGTCTGGCATTGTAAGTTGCAGAGATCTGGGTCTGCTGTGGGTGGTTGTGCTAATCACAGGGTTACGCTGTGTTGAGGAGGAGCCCAGCATCTTGCTGCTTTCTACACAGGAAGAGTTTTCCAGAAGTCAGACCCACGGTTTGCTCCTGTGTTTTGTCTCAGGTGGCTACGATGGGCTGAACATACTGAATTCTGTAGAGAGGTACGACCCCCACACTGGACACTGGACAAATGTCACTCCGATGGCCACCAAGCGCTCAGGTAAGAGCCCCCGGGCCTAGAAGTCACAGCGTGCTGCGCTGCGCCATGCTGAGTGAGCAGTCGCTGCTGGCTCCTCCTGCTRCCCTGGAGGATGCTGGTGACTGCACCGAGAGGCTGGTACCTCCCAGCTTGTGGCTTTGAGAAGGGGCGTTTCAGGATGTACTCTGCAGGAGTAGGATTGAGCTTCACATGCCTGATACCTGTACTCGTGGAAAGAGGAATGGAGGGCTTGCAAGGAGGGAAAGGAAGTTTTGTGTGACTTTTGTGGCTAGGAATGGTGCTTGGCTTGAAAACAAGCTAGTGAGGGACAAGCTACTGACCACAGGGATTGGTTTAAGATAATGAAAGAGGCTGCATTAAATCAGTGCTGCTCAGCTGCACAGGACCCACAAGGTGCAAGGTGGTTGCTCCGCAAGACCCTCCTTCTCCCGTGCTGCCCCCTGCATCAGGGCTGGGGCAGCCCTGCAGCAGAGCGCAGCACTGATGCACGAGGGCTGCATTGCARCACTGTTAAGCTAATGACTTGAAACATGCAGTCAAACATTAATTATTCACCAACTTTGTCTTTGCTGCTCAGTTTAACCATTGTATCTAGGAGAAAAAAATAATGTAGTTTTAATCCTGATTTTTAGAGTAAACTTCTGTCTTGGCTGTTGGGTTTTTGTTTGTTTGTTTGTTTGTTTGTTTGTTTGATTGTTTTGTTTCTCCAAAGAGTTTCTGTAGGGCTGGTGCAGCTGGGAGCTGCTGCTCCCAGTGTGCTCCCTGACCAGTGACCTCTGAGTGCTGACCAGCTGCCTTCGCAGTGACCCTAGGCCACCCACCCACTCATGGTAGCTCTGCAGCATGAAGCTCTTCTCTCCTCATGCAAAAGGGCAGGGTGCTGCATGCCATRCAGGAGCTCTGCTGTCCTTACAGGCACTCTTTCAAAACCTATTTTAAGTTGCTTTCTCTATATTTCTTTCATTAAATGCCCTTCACAATTGGCAGAGGCAACATTGCTTCAGTTTGTTCCCTCTGRAAGTGTTCTTATTGAGGGACCAAAAGCTAGTTACTCAATTTAATCTGTTTTCTAAGCTAGAAACAGTTAAGATTTCTTGTGCCTGCAGTGAATTGCAAGGCTTTAAATATTTTCTCCTGTGGCAGAGCCATTCCTGCTAAGTGTGGGTTGGAAAGTATTTTCCATATGCCAGGAATGGATTTGATTTAGAAGCTGGTCGCTTCCCACGCCCAGGAAGACTCCACATATAAACACATGATAAATCTGTGGGTTTTCCTACATCAAAAGTAATGAGCAAGACCTGTCCATGGATTGCCAGAGAGTTTAAGGATGCAGATGCCTGTTCCCAAAGGGTCTATTGGGTGCACCAGAAAAGATGGTTTCTAGCAAGACCAAAAGCAACAAGTTCAAGGGCAAAGCCTTTGTGAAAAAGACTTCCAAGTTTCTTGTGAGCTTCCCAGAAGACCTGGAGACTTCTTGTTAGCAGGGCCTCAGCTCAAAGCAGAGACTCCTCAGTGTCAGAGGGAAGCAGGAACATTGTGAGGCTCTTGATCCTGGCAGCAGCTCAGTCAGGTTCCTTCGTCTGTGCTGTGAGTTTGAGCACTCACAGCTGAATGGGGATTCACCCAGGAACAACTGTCTGCTCTGTCTTGACCTCATTTTTTTGGCCCTGTTTTTGATGCTACCTCTCTGTGGTACTAACACCAGTTACACTTACAGCACCCATCCCAGTATCAGTGTCTGTCCATCCAGATCTTGGGCCCTGTAGGACTTCCTTTGCCCTAAGGTTTTGACACTCTTTCTAAAGCTACTTTCATGTAGGTCTTGGAGTTCCAAGAAGACACGAGACTAAAAGTAATCTTGCCTTTATTCATAGAAATTGTTTCCTGCTTGTGTCTCCTCACCTCTTAGAACAGATTCCAGAGAGGGGCCATCCTACAGAAACCTTGGCCRTATTACATTGCTAGTCTCGGCTTACCTGATCATGCCTTGGTCTATCTCCCATCTCAGCTGATGTCTCCATGTTCATCAGTGAAACATCAGAGACCCCACCACAGCAATCTGACCATTCCTAGCTGCTTTAGTGCTCTCAGCAAGGGGGATAGACAGGGAAAGTGAAGTTGAAAATAGTGGAACAGGAAATCTCTTATACCTTGTTTTTAGAAGATACAGATGGGTCCCCAGAGCTGCAGAGCAGCTGGCTTGTTTCCTGGGATGTTTGCATCAGTGCTGTGGTTACACGTTGTTGATAACACTCTGACAGGGATTACCCTGCTCTTGAGATACAGCTTAAAACGGCAGAGGCTGTTGGCAACAGCATCTGAATCCGCTAAGTGCCTTGTTATCTTTCTGCACCTTGGCACTGAAGCGAGCTACCACTTAGCAACAGCAGTTAGCTGAGGCTGATTTTTCTGAATTTATCAATAAACCCGATGTTGAGCCAACTGTGTTATTTATTGCTCTTACTAAGGAGGCAACAACAGCTCTTCAGACAGATGCTTCAGCCCCTTATGCATCTGGTTACAGAGAAGGTACCAGACATCAGTTTGCCTTTCTGTGCCTCCTYTAGAGGCGGTCTCAGAGTAATCCTTCCTCCAGCTTCACATGCATCAGCATGGTTCCCTTCCCTGCAGCCAGGGGCTGGGTGATGCCAGGAAGCTGGAAATGCCAGAGAAACCCAGCTGCCCCACAGAGCCTCGGGTGGCCTGAGCTAGGCCTGCTCTGCTGTGTTCAGGGGGCTGCTGTGTCTTTCAGCCAAGGTGAACATCTCATGTTGTAACTTACACCCTACCTGCAGAATTAGTTAGTTCCTCCCTCCTTTTGAGATTGAACAGCCTGTGGCAGAGATATGGGTTATCCTTTATCACACTGGAGTCGAGAACAACAGCAGAGGATCCTGCTTTAGCACAACTCTTTTGGGGGAGATTTATGTGTAAAAAAATTGTGCTCTGTGTTCTGGGAGAGAAGCAGGAACTTATCTCATTAAGCCTCATGACAGTGAGCCCTGGGCATGGTGATGCCAGTGCAACTCATGGATGTAACTGCCCCTTCCTTTCTTTCTAGGTGCTGGAGTGGCTCTGCTGAATGACCATATTTATGTGGTTGGTGGGTTTGATGGGACTGCACATCTTTCCTCCGTGGAGGCCTATAATATTCGCACTGATTCCTGGACAACTGTAACAAGCATGACAACCCCRCGCTGCTACGTGGGGGCCACCGTGCTACGGGGCCGGCTCTACGCCATTGCCGGGTAAGAGGCTGGGCAGGGAGGTGCTCGCTGYTTATCAGGGGGCTGGAAGAAGCGCCGGCGAGTTCAGGTTACAGATCATGCTGCTCTGTTCTGGGCAGCCTCTMCTTGCATTTGCCTGAGGACAGGCCACACTCCACTGTGCCCAACCTAAATAGGGAGCATGAGGCACTGGCCCAGAGCCAGTACAAGCAGGAAGGTGGCCACGAACAGCAAGAGGGAGCCTACTGTGGAGCCTATTGTAGTGGTTTTATTACAGGCTACTCCTGCTGTTTCTAACTGTGCAATGTCCAGGAAGGGCTGTGAACACCCCACCCTCTTCCTTCAGCAGCATCAGTCGTGCATAATTTTCCATCCTTGCAGATACGATGGCAACTCACTGCTAAGCAGCATCGAGTGCTATGATCCCATCATTGACAACTGGGAGGTAGTAACCTCCCTGGGGATGCAGCGCTGTGACGCTGGAGTCTGCGTCCTTCGGGAGAAGTGATCTGGAGGGCGCTTACAAAGAGCAACACCCAGAAGAATCCCTGCTGGAGGAAGAGTCCCAAGCGATTTGCAGTGACTGTTCTTGAGAGTTGTGGATGCTGTGAAAAATAGGCATCAGCATAGCAGCTTTCTGTGCTGCCTTAACTAGAGCATGTGCAAAAATGTGTTATCTCAGCAGTCATTTGAAATCAGGGGCTCTGAGTGAAGCTGTAAAGGAGTGAGGTGGATCAGGAGAAGCTGCCTTCTCTACTCTTCCTGTGGCTAATTATCATCTGAGCAGAGAAGCTCCTAGCCCTGGCATGGACCAGACTGTGAACGCTTCCAGGGCTGTGTACAGCACATACAGCACCCAGCAGCTCTCATGGGAGGCTGCAGAGCCATGTGGGTCCACCAGTCGCTCTCAGCCATTGGATGCGTGAGGGCGGAATTCAGCTGCTCTTACAGCCTCAAATCATCTTGTACATACTGAATGTTTTAAACATGCTCCTCACGGGCACGTCAGTGCAGAGCCGAATGGAGCGAGCTTGTGATAATGGAGTCCCGCACTGTGGTTGTGTCCACAAGTTCCTCACGGGTCTGCACACGAAAGGAGTCGCAGATTAATGCTGTCAACTACTGACCCAAAAGCCTGAGGTGACAGAGGGAAAGATGCCATGGCATGGAAGCCGGTGTGCAGCATTTTGCAGGGGTCAAGAGGCACAGGAAGGTTTAACACATCACATTTTCCCTTCAATAGCTTGATTGACCCAGCTGGAAAGCGCTGCATCTTCAGGCATGGGAGCCATGCTGTGACTGAGCAGTGCCTTTGCTCCCAGCGCTGCGGGGAGGGCACTTTGCAGAGGCCGAGGCCCCAGTCATAGCGATGCGATTGCTACTCAGCCTACAGCTTGTTAGCTGGAGTTCCTCCCAGGACACATCTCCCTCTGTTTTCTGTTGCCAGGGCCTTTCCAAAGTGATATCCAGGATTCTTTTTTGCCCCTTAATTCCCCGCTGTTTATTTCCCTGCCTCCATCCTGCTACACAAGCTGTCCTTTGAGTTCCCCGCACACCCCACGTGCAAGCATCGCTGCTGCCTCGCTCAGCACGCTCTCCTCAGCCCGCCTGCTGCCCTGCTGCGTTTTGGGGAGCGCGGGCTCTGTCCTGCTGCCAGCCGGCCCCCTCGGCACCCGCGCTCCGGGTCATGCTGCTCTCTGAGCATTCTGCTGGCTCCTTTGCTTGGGGTCGGGAGCAGGGACGGGGTAGCGTGACGTATGCACTTTGAGCCAACGCTCTGAACTTCTGCGTTTGTTCCTATCACACACAAGTGTTCTGTGGTTTCCTTTGTGTATTTTTTAATGAAAATATAAAGAATAAAGTATTTCCTGAGCCAGTGCAAGTCAAGCTTCTTTTCTCCTCACTAAACATTGGTTTGACCACACTGCRTTGAGGTTATGCCTTTATCAGCAGCTTAAAATCCCTGTTAGACCAGGCAGCTGCCTTCAGYTCTCCCTGCCCTACAGCTTCCTGATGTCTCTGGATCGTACTAAAGGACAAGTGCTCCATGCACCATGGTCCATGGCACAAGATCAGGCCTAGGAAAACTTGCTACCTGGAGATGGATTTGCTGCAACATCTGCTTGGAAACAGTGTGGCAGCAGTGCCAAAGAAATGAGTTTGTGTTAGAACAGCAAGTTTGCAGTTGCAAAAAACAAGTCTTTTGTCTACCATGGTAATACGGAGTAAGTGGAACCCAGTATTGATTTGTTTGCCAATGGTGTGGTTACAAAATGCCCTTGTGGTTTCACCTCTCCAAAACCTGCTCTTGATTTCAACAAAAACTGCAGAACTCCAGCTCATGGCAGCTGCTGGTAGGTCTGAACTCACTCCCTATTGCTGTGTCTCCTAACAAATCCACACCAGCTTTACTGGTTTTACTCTTTCTGCTTTTTTTCTTTCTTTTCACTTAAGCAGAACACATGAGCCAAGACATTGTACGCGGCTCATTGCCCTTCCATGTAGCCATCCATGTTAGTGGGGTCATCCCTACCCCTCTAGCATCTGTTCCTGGCCCTCAAGTCCATCAAGTCTCTTCTTGACCCCATGGACAGTACCTGCTTCCACCATCCCTGTACAGCTGCAGTAAGCTCCCTCCCCACCATGTAGTCTGCCTTATGCCCATCTCCTAGATTCATTAAATACTCCCTCCCTGTAGTACTGCAAGATTTGGTGAAGTTTGGTGAAACACAGTTCCGACTCCATCTTATCACCACTCTTATGTTTGTGTAACTTGTTCAAGGTGATTCTGCCCTGCCCAGAAAACGACGACACAGGAGCCGAGGTTGATCTCTCTGACTTTTCCATTTTATACAAAAACAAACAAACCCTTCTGCTGGGCCAGCGCCAAGGGCGCCGAGCTCCGCCCGAACGAAGCTCCCGGCCCTGCGCCCTGTCTGCCCCCGGCGCCGCCGCTCCCGCCTCAGGGCGCCGCGCGGTTCCCGCC